GGGGGCCTCGTGGGGGGCCAGAATTCAGAGGATGTCTCAGGCGAAATGTTGGTTTTCACGTTCCGCTCGCAGGAATTCTGGGGATGTCTCGCGCGTGCCACGTCCCGCGCGCAGGAATTTTGAGGATGTCCAGTAGCGCGTCCCCTTGGCACGTCCTACGGTGCGACCCCATGGCACGTCCCTTGGCACGTCGCCTGGCGCGTCCCTTGGGACGTTTCGCGGCGCCTATGTCCCCCTGTCAATTAGCTCTGGGGCAGCTGCTACGTGTTCAGGCAGCTCGAGCTTCAGATCCAGATCAGTTCGGTCAGGACTCGGATGCAAAGGAAGACTCGATCCACGACGCTATAGAGCACAACCGCGGCATGGCACATCGCAATTCAGCACGGCGCAGCACAGCACAGCCCTCGGCACGGTACATCAAGATCGATACAATCAGCATTGCACTTGTCCGTCACCCAATCAGGTGTCTTTGAAAACGTTGCCATGCGTGCGTTACATTTCTATATTCCTTTCCGGGTTCGTGGGTCGATCATGTTTGACCTTTCGTCGAAGCCTTTGGAGTCGTCGGGGGAGCCTCGTGGCGGTCCGGGGCCTTCCTGGAACGTTTGCGGTGCCTCCAGAATCAGCTTCTTTGGGCAATTTGAGTCTTCTGGGGCCTTTGTGGTGGCGCCTTTTCCGTTCTCTTCCTTCACTCTTTGATGCATGGGTTCCGCTGGTCCTGATCGGCCAATTTGGTTGGATCGGCGACGTTCGCATAACGCCCCCTATCGCGTTCCGTTGGCCGGTCCAGTTCACCAAGGTCAGTTGGCCATTCCATGTTCTGCGCAACCCTCACCACAGCGAGAAAGCGGGTCGGTCCGCCCACTGCGGTTCTTTGTGCAGATGACCGTGCTCAGTCTCAATTGTTGTTATCATGTTTTCACTGGTTCATCCATCGCGATCTCATGTTCCACTCCGTGCGATCGACCTCAAGTAGAACAGAAGCGCGCCCGAAGCGCGCGCGATCGTTCTAGTAGATATACACACATGGACACACACATATACATGTATGTATATAAAGGTATTTATATATATATATGTATAGAGCTTCTGGCCGTTGCCATACGACTTGGGAGCTGGGTTCGGTATTTGATCGTAGTGGGACGTTCATTGTTCGCGGTTGTTGTGAGATTCGAGGTGAAGCCCACGCGGGGTTTTCAGAAAGTCGCGGGTGTCCCGATTAGCGTTTCTCCTTCGTTCATTTAGCATTGTTTTTTGATGGCCCGCTCTGACGGAAGATACTGGGCAGCTGGGGCGGGGAAGGATTGTCCGGTTTCCTTTGTGGCGCAGGGGAGCCGCGAGTTGTGAAGAGGGACTTCTGTATTTTATCCATACGTTTGGCTGAATGTGACAGAAATTCACGGGATTGGACACTTGGAAGAGATGGTCGGATAGCCTCTGGTCCGTTTCATTATGTTTCATATGTTGTACGTCTTTGCTTCAATTTTGCGCCATATGTTGCAGCGGGTGGCCGTGGGCGAGACCTGATGATCGCAGGGAACTGTGCTGTCAATCTGGTGTTTCCGATCTTTGCGGTCCCAGTTGCGCGATTGTTCCTTTGGTTCAGCCCGCATAGTAAGGATGAGCAAGTTCCCAAGGTGGCCCTTGCATACTTCCATTCGACCCATCCTTGGCCAATTTCGCTGGCCACGCCCCACTCGAAAGGTATCGACATGGTCTTCAAGGCCATCCTTAGCGCGCATCCTTAGCGCGCATTCTTGTGATGGATGACGCTGTTCGTTCAGTCGGGTCCGCTGGCAGTTTTCGTGGGCCCGTTGTCCGCGCGCGTAGGCGAAGCCCCGCTGCCCCGCTGGGCCCGTTGTCCGCTGTCACCATCGCGCAGTGCCTGCGCGATGGTGACAGAAGGGTCGCCTCACTTGGCCTCCCAGCGCAGCTCTGCTGGCGCCGCTGGTCTAGCCCCCGCGGCGATTTGGTGGCGCCAGACCGAGGCATCCGGCGCAGCGCCGCTAAGCGCCTCCGCCACGCGATCATTGGGGTGGGGGGGGCGCCGAGTGGCTGTTGCAACAGTGCTGGCCGCATTCGGCGTGGCCGTGTTGAAGCGAAGGCGCCAACGAGCCGTCTGCACAGAGCGCCCAGGATCAGCACCATGGGCCGTGACAACCTCAGATACGGTGCTTTTTTCCCGCGGATGTTCTGCACGGAACTTGTCCATGCGACCACGTTATCCGCGGGATCGCGCCCCAGAATCCAGACCGCGAGGGCGAGAATATGGATGGATACATTCGCTGTTTGTGAGTTATGAAATCATCTGGCTATCGGAGAACCGCCGATCGTTGAAGGTTGAACGATCCACCTGGTGTCAGAAACCAGCGCGAGGGTCGTCACGACACGAAACGGTTTTACGTGATTGCCAAGGTGGGTGATATTTGGCTGAACCTGGATTATAATCAGGGGCCACGTTAGGGGGAGATACTCTTAGGGGGGATGCGCTGACCTCCAATCGCAGCTCCTCTCTTAAAGGGAATTCGATTGCCCACTCCGCCCAGGAACATAGGCCTATCGTTGATGTGTCGGAGATGTATTGCCGATTCCAGGGTCGAACGCCGCCAGGGACCCCCGAACTGGCCAATGCAGAACGATCCGGCGATTGGAGAGCCGCCGCTGAACGGTCTGGTCGTGTGTTCAAGGCTGCCTGCATGCGGGACACTCCGCAACGCCGTAGCCCAGGATGCTCGACGCGCGAGCGGGTCGCCTCTGCCGCGCCGCGGCGGAAAAGTCAGCGAGGCTCAGCGATCCGCCACGCTCGAGGCTGAACGACCTGGGCGGTGTCAGACCCGACGAAGGCATCTATACACCACCACCGTGCCAGGCCAGGGCCATCCTGGGTTCCAGGATGGTGTATAGACCTTCCTGGCCTCGGCCAGGATGGCGTGTACACCATGCCAGGGCCAAGATGGCCCTGGCCTGGCACGGTGGTGGTGTATAGATGCCTTCTGCGTATCACAAACCAGCGCCAGGGTCGTCGTGCCACTTCTTCTGGATCGGCGGCCCCAGCGAACGCGGGCGCGAGGGTCGAGACGGGCGGGGCGCGCGGCGCGCGGACGCGAGCGGAAGAGCAGGCGCGCGGGCGCGCAGGAGGGCAGAGGTCAGGAGGGAACAAAAACACACGGACACAATGAGTCGTCGTCCCCAGAAAATCTGGGAACATATGGGAAGGGGGGGGGAAGACAAAAGCCTAGAAAATATGGGACAATATGGCGAACCCTGTTATTTGTGTGTATTGGGCTGGCCTCCGGCCAGTGCCGCCGATCCGGGGGTGCTCCGGAAGTGGAGTTTTCTATGCCTCCCTGTCCCCCGGGACCGAATTACATCGGAAATGACGTCGGAAATATCCCCGTGTACCGAATAACGTCGGAAATGACGTCAGAAATAATGTACCCCCCCACCCCCCTGCAGAGCGAAGCTTGAGCGAGCTCAAGTCCACGCTCTCAGAAACTCACACGCCGGATCGGCGGATTTGTTTGTGTGTCCCAGGGCCCCTTCGAGAGGAGAGGGGGCCTCACCGTCGAGTCTCGACGGGCGAGCGGCGCGCGGGCGGCCTCGGGCACCGGAGGCGGGGTGTGCCTCGCGTCGTGGGGCAGCGAGGGGCCCGAGGCGGCCAGGCGCGGCGGAGGGGGAGGAGGAGGGGGGGGAGGAGGAGGGGGAGGAGGAGGGAGGAGGGGGAGGGGGAGGGGAGGAGGAGAGTGAGGAGGAGGGAGGGGAGGAGGAGGAGGAGGAGGAGGAGGAGGAGGAGGAGGAGGAGGAGGAGGAGGAGGAGGAGGAGGAGGAGGAGGAGGAGGAGGAGGAGGAGGAGGAGGGAGGAGGAGGAGGAGGAGGGAGGAGGAGGAGGAGGAGAGAGGAGAGTGAGGAGGAGGAGGAGGAGGAGGAGTGAGGAGGAGTGAGAGGAGGAGGAGCGGGAGGGGCAGGAGGAGGAGGAGGAAGGAGGAGGAGGAGGAGGAGGAGGAGGAGGAGAAGGAGGAGGAGGAGGAGTGAGGAGGAGGGAGGAGGAGGAGGAGGAGTCAGGAGGAGTGAGGAGGAGTAGGAGGAGTGAGGAGGAGTGAGGAGCAGGGAGGAGGAGGAGAAGGAGGAGGAGGAATAGGCGAGGGTGAGCGGAGTCGTCACGGCATCAGGAAGCCGGATGCGCGTGAGGTGGCCGGCCTGGGCGAGAGTTGGATGCATGCGTGGCCACCACGGTCCTCGTGTGGCCCAGCACGGTGATCCTCCACATGTGTATCCCGCAAGTGGCCTCCAGTTGTTCCACATGTGAATCTAGCCACGTATGTTCATATGTTCGGCGTCACCCCAACATAGTAATATTATGCGTGCGTCGCCCCCCCAGCGGCGACGCGCGCACTGAGAAATCCTGTGGTATATGCGTCTTGGCGGGCGCTTTCTGGCCACACCGCTCGGGAAACGATATACTGCAAGATGGTTTTACCATATGTTCGGGTCGAACGCGCGCCTTCAAAGTGGACATCTGTATATACATATATATATATATATATATATATATATATATATATGTATATATATGTATATGTATACATAGATAGGGTGGGCAGACCCCCCACCTTGACACGTCGATTAGTGAATTGTCCATTTTTGGTTAACTAGAGGGCGCCGCGGCCGTCATCTTCCAGGCTTGCGCCCGCCAGGTTTGGGCCCGGGGTCGCTTTCCGAAACCACGTTTTGCTAAAGGGGGCTCAGCCCATCCCCGAATATTTGTGTATATATGTGTGTATATATATATGTATATATACATATCTTTTTTGATCATGCTATACACATAAGATCTTATATATACACACGCATCTGTTTATAGACATACATACTATGAGTCTGTCGCTGTGCGTCCCATCTGTTCCCAGATCCCTGGTGCCAGCCCTGCCGTGCACACCCCTGGCGCCGGACGAGCCGGCGGGCGGCCGGCCGGCCGCCGCGGCGGGCCGCCGCTGCCCCAGGCCATTGCGAGTCGTACTGCACGTCCTCGGCCTCGCACAGAGCCTCGCACCGCCCGGGCGCCGCCGCCCGCGGCCCGCTGCGACGGCGCACCGGCGCCGCCGCCGCCGCTTCCGCTTCCGCCGCCGCCTCTCGGGCGCCTCGCGGGGTCAGAAGCCTGCGCAGGCCTCGAGGTGCGCGCTTGCCTGCTGCTGCTGTTGCTGTTGCCGCTTCCCCTCTCCTCCTGCTTGGTTGTGTCTGCTTGTCGCGTTTTTCCTCCTTCTCCTCGCCTTTCACCTTCTCCTCCTCCCTCCCTCCCTCTCCGGGCGGCACAGCCTGCCCAGAGCCGGCTTCGCCAAACAGCGTGGAGCCATTTTACCAGAGCGAACGTTCCGAGTTTCACCTCTCTCTCGCAGCGGCATCGGCCGTCCCAAGGTTGGCACCAGCACCAACATCGGCGGGGTGCCACCACCCAGGGAAGGAGATCCCGATCTCGGTGAGGGTGGTGATATTCTGGCTTGCGCTCTTGGGGGCCTCTTGGGCCGTCTTGGAGCATCGGATGGCCGAAAAGGCGACAAGGCCAAACTCCTTCCGAAACCGTCGTAAAATTACTGATTTGGGCCTCCCGGGCCCTCTTGTGAGGCCTCTTGGAGGCCACTTGGAGGCCCCGTGGGCCGTCTTGGGGTCATCATCGGCATCTTGGAGCGCTCTTTGGGCGTCTCGGGGGCCTCTTGGGCAGTCTTGGGGACCTCTTGGGTCAGGATGGGGTGAGGGGTGTCGAAAAGTTGCCACGATCCTTGTGAGGGGTGTCGAAAAATTGCCCGATCTGGCATCTCTGATCCGAGTGTCCCGGGGGTGTCCCGGGGGTGTCCCGGGGTACTGTCTGGGGACCCCCAGGGGTGGCCCCGCGCGCGCGAACTAGAATATTGTTGACCAGTTACCGAAGATCTCAGCACGCCCTTGGCCCGTTGGGCCGGTGAATTTCATTACGTGCCTGTTCCCCCCGCTGGGCCGCGCAGATGCCGCCGGTCATGATTTGCACCCCCCCTCTTGGACACCCCCCTCTTGGCCGCTCCCGAGTTTCTCCCGTCATGTTTAGATCTGTCGCTGGTGCAGCCAGCGCCGCCTCGCCGCCGACGCAGAACGTGGTTCTGCCATCCGCGGCCCCAGGGCTTCCGACCGCTTCGCCGGGGTCTGGCTTTCCCTCCCGAGTCCACTTGAGGCTGGCCACGCGAGATGCGTGGAACGATCTGGAGCGACAGTTCTGTCAGGCAGCTTAATCTGCAATGGTCGGGCCGAACGAAAGGGGGGGATAGGGAAAGGGGGGGGGTACGAAATCTGCTGCATGCAGCTGGTTTCGGCCCCGCCGCCGAGCCCATTCCTCGATACATGGCCGCCTCCGGCGCTGGGTGGCGCTGGGAGAATCAGCTACGTGAGCTGATTCTCAAACCCCCCCTTTGCTATCCCCCCCTTTCGCCCGGCCCGAGAATCCACTTGAGGTTTGCCACGCGAGATGCGTGGAACGATCTAGAGCAAGAGTTCTGTCAGGCAGTTGAATGTGTAATGGGTGCTTCGGCCCCAACCCCTTGGCACCGCTCGGACGTGTGCATTTTTCTTTTCGGCGAGGACCATCGAGGAGCATCCTTGACAAATTGGCGAAACAAACACGCACGAAACCGACAAAAACATTGGGAATGGACGTCCGAGCGATGGCCCCAACCCGCGGCACCTACAGGGTGCGCGGTGCGGGTCGCCGTGGCAGCCGCAGTTGGCTTGCCTCCCGAAGCCGAGTTGGACTGCCACAGGGGGGGGCGGAAGCGGCCCGCGCAGGCCGAGGCCTCCAGGACACACAGACACAACGAATCGTCGACTCCCAGGGGGAAAATATCGGAAAAGATGGGCAGTGGGGGGGGGAGACAGAAACCCTGCAAATATGGGGAAATATGGGGAGTCCTGTTACTTGTGTGTTTGTTTGTGTGTCCCAGGGCCCCTTTGAGGGATCGTCGGAGATCTGGGCCGACTGGGCTGCGACCCCCCCTCCTCGGCTGCACCTCTCCCAGGACGGGGGGGCCACACGCGAGCCCTGCCCTTAAGTCGGGCCTGTCCCCCTACAAGGGGATTTTCGACGAAAAATAGAAAATAGGCGAACAACAAAAACCCAAATAGTCAAACAATAGTCAAACAAATAGTCTGGGGACTATGTTGTTGGTATGTTTTGCTCTTCTTGGGATATTTTAGGGTTTTGTATTTATCCCCACATCCTAAGTGGGATTCTTGTTTTCTCTGCACACCCCGCGCAGTCCTCCCACACCCCCTCTCTGTGTCTCTTCATCTCTCGCGCTGTCTTTCTCTCTCTCTCTCTCTCTCTCTTTCCCACCACCACCATCATCATCACTCATCATCCTTCATCATCCTTCATCATCCCTCATCATCATAATCATCCTGGTGATCATCATCATCGCTCGATCATTCACCCACCCGCTCAACATCATCATCATCATCATCATCATCATCATCATCATCATCATCGTCATCATCATCATCATCATCATCATCATCATCATCATCACTCACTCACTCATCATTTCGTCCCACTCCATCTGTCAATATCATCGTCAGCATCATCATCATCAGCACCACCACCAGCACATGAAAGAAATTCGGTGCGATCGCCATCACCGGTCATCGATTATCACCATCATCCGATGACCACCATCATCACATCACCATCATCATCACGATCATCGGCCATCATCATCATCATCGTCACCATCAACATCACTGTATTACTCATCATCATCATCATCATCATCATCATCATCATCATCATCATCATCATCATCATCATCATCATCATCACTCACTCACTCACTCACTCACTCACTCACTCACCCACTCATTCAATCACTAATTCACTTACTCATCACGTTCACCATCCTGGACTGAGTATCAAGCGGGAGCCTCGTCTGTGAGTGAATTGCAAGAGAGTTTTAGGCGGGAGCCTCCTCCCTATGGGTCCCGCACTTCACGTTGGTAATCCGAGGCGGCTCATCCCAAACCTGTGGGCTCCAGGGCGGAGCCACGGGGGGGGGTCTTCTTCTAGTGGTCTTTTTGCTTGTTCCTCAGTCGTGCTCCGGTGGTGTGCCAGAGGCTTTTTGGATGCTAGCTGGGATCTGGTGGGGAGGTCCTTGGGGGCGTCTTGGAGGCAAGCTCGAGGTCTCTTGGGGGATTTTTTGAGGGTAGGGGGTTCGAGAAGGCGTGGTGGACGCAGATACGGATCGAGGAGATGCACGCGGATCTGCAGCGCACGTCTGGCATGGAGGCCGAGTTCCCGGGCCCGACACAGATGTGGGGTCATTGTGGCCCCACGCAGGAGGAGCTCACGCCCACCCAGCCTTTCCATCCGCGCGTCTTCGAGGGAAGTGACGGCGGAACTGATGGTGCCGATCAGGGTGCTGTTCATGGTGCTGCTCAGTTTTCCGATCAGGGTGCTGTTCATGGTGCTGTTCAGGGTGCTGTTCATGGTGCCGATCAGGGCGCTGTTCATGGTGCTGTTCATGGTTCTGCTCAGTACGAGTGCGACCCCACGCATTTGGATGCCCAGCTCTGCCGCGAGCTGCTCCGCCTCAGCCCTGGAGTCCACCGCTCTCTTGTCGAACTCCTGGAGCGCCTTCCGCAGTGACGCCGGCGGCCCGCGCTCCAGGAACTCATCGCGCGGGCGGCCAGCGTCCTCATCCGTGGCGCAGTCGATGGTGACGCCCTTGCGCAGCGTCTGGCCCTGCGACAGCGTCGAGGTCAGGTAGGACGCGTGCGTCAGGGTGAACCCAGAGCGGCGCACAGCGTGCGCCCCCGAGCTTTGCCACGTGAGTTCCTGCTCGCTGGGCCTGAACATGAGCAAGCTCTTCGCCCGCGCCTTGGCCTCGCCGTCGTCGTCGGCGGCATCGGCGCCCTGCTGCAGCGCCTCGGCGACCTCCTTGTAGATTGGGGACTCCTGGAAGCCGTGCACATGCAGCCAGATTCTCTGCGGTAGGTAGCGGGGGCGGAAGAGCTGGCCCGGCGCGCACTCCTCGTAGTCCCGCTCGTCGCCTGCGTGAAACTCGAAGGACACGATGGTGGCCCGTTGCTCCTGCACGAACCCCAACTTCTTCTTCAGCTCCTCCTGCGCGGCCGTGAACCGAACCTCCATGCCGACGTGTGCCGGTAAGACGCCGTGGATTTCCCCCGTCTTGTGCGTGTTCGGGACGTTCAGGAGGCGCTGGCCTGCGTCTGGGTCGCCCTGAATCGCGCCGCACTCGTCCACGGCCTGCAAGAAAACGAGGGGCACGCCCAGACGCCGAGAGTCGCGACGAGCACGCGTGTTGATCCACCTCGCCAGCGTCTCCCAGTAGATGCCCATGCCGTAGCCGAGCAGAAAGTTGTCGTGCTGGTACCGTGGGCCCAGGACGCCGCGGTTGTCAGAGGCCAACGTCTTCTCCCAGGTAGACCAGACCATTGGTGGGGAGCGCTTGCCCTCGCGCGTGCAGCCCAAGAACGCGATGAGAGGGCCCCCCGGCTCGAAGCGCTTTGTGCCCTTCAGCTCGAAGACGCAGGGGATCTGAGAGAAGACCCTGATGGCGTGCTGGATCTCCACCGTCGGCGGCTCCGCGTACTTGTACGGCCCGTCGTCCAGGAGCTCGTTCGCGTCCGTCAGGAGCCCGATGCTGCCGGTGGGCTTCAGCTGCAGGAAATCCCCGATGTGCAGCGCGATGGGGACGCGGCCGAAGTGGTGGCGCGGCCTCCTGTAGGTGGACTCCTGCGCGTCGTGCGTGTCGCTGCGCCCGTGGCAGGCGCGAAGGTCCAGCGCGTTGTACAGAGCAGCTGCCACCATGCTTACCTTCTCGATGACCAGGGCGCGGACGTGCTCTCACAACCACTGCAACCTCTTCTGCGTGCCCCCAGGCCTCATCTTCGCGTTGATGCATTTCTGGATTCGCAGGGCGCAGGCGTTATGCAGCGCTCTGGTCTTCGCCGTCTCCGTGGAGATGTTCTTCGCCTGCGCGTGCGAGAAGGCCACGGCCATCATGGCGCCCTTGTCCTGCGC